ACACGGCCAGAGGCCGCAGGTAAATGGCACTTTCGTGGTAACTTGAGTATCTCTAAGCCGGCTCCTGTCTCTGCTTAAAAACCCAAGCATGGTTTGGACCCCAAGTGCCTTGCAAATGAAGCCAAAATATATTTATATGCTGTCTGAAGAACAGCAAGATATCCAGATGGGTTGAATTACAAACCTGGTTGCACTTTTGCATACTTAGAAATATAATTGAGGGACAGATAGCCATAACAGGTAGCCAGAGGCACCGTGCTATAATTGTCTTTAGAAAATCATTGCCTTGGCCTCTGAGTGAGAGCTAAAGGCCATGGACCATTGAACAGGGCAGAACTTGGGGTTTTCCACCTGTGAGCCTCACAGCCATATGTTGGTGGTTCAATCTGGAAAATAAGGACTCAGGGACCTAGTTAACCCCCCCCCCTCGGTTCAAGTTCTGTTGCTCCCCAATAAACACTTAAAATCCCGTGGGTCACAGGGGACGTGAATTAGGTGGATGTCGGGTATTTCTCACCCAACCTGTGTTTTCCAGCTCAATAGATAGCTATTGAGCATCTTTTCAGCATGGGCTTTATTGCTGAGTTTGGAAAGTCCGAAGGCTAGGGTAGAAGAACACGGCTGACTCCAGAAGATGGAAGAAGATCTTAACAAGGTTTAAGAAAGGAAGATGCCTGGTAGAGTGAGAATAAGAGGAGCACAAAAGCATGTTTGTGATGGTGGGAAGGAAGGGCTTGAGATCTGCTCACCTTGTACCTGTGGACGTCACAGCGTGTGCTGGAGGCCAAACTCCAACAATTAGGCTGAGCCAGGCAGAAGCCAACAAGGGCAGGACCAAAGCTGACTGAATTGCATGGAAGTCCAAGCAATTGAATCCAGTTGAAATGATGACTTTGGTGTGGAGGCCTTTGAGATTTGGAGGGCCTTGGATTTACTCCAGAGAAGGCCACACCCTTCCTGCTTCCACTTTGGCTCCTACCTGAACAGGATCAGCAGGTTTTGCGGGTTGCACAAGGCCTTTGTCAATGTCTGCTTGATCAAGAGGACAGCAGAACCAAGGAAAAATGTATGAGTCCTAGACAGAATGGACTCTCAATCACTTTTTAAAAATCCTTTCAAAAACATTTTGAAATCTCATCTTCAGTGGAAACCTATTCAAGCACCACAGACCTTCTCAACCGTCAGGGCCAGCCTCTAGGCAGAGCCTCAAAGAAAGAGCTTGCCACACCCTTTGAAAACCCTGGCTGATGGCTGATGTTTATTTGGAATAATGCTTGTTCCAGGAAGCCCTTATGAATTTGAAGAGAAAGCGTGGCGGGGGGGGGGGCAGATGTGTTAGTCTAGTCTACATTGCCACCCACTTCATCAGAAGGACAGAACTCTTTGTAGACTAGCACATCCTGTCCCCAGACAATCCTTGTGAGGTCACTTCAACCATCTAGTCAATTCCAGCATTATTTCAAAACTCCACCCTTTAAGGCAGGGGTGTCAAACTGCAGCCAGATGCGTCATACCGAAACCGTGCCCACCCCATTGCTGGCAATGGGAAAAAAGTCGCAGTACGTCACGACACATCACGTGACGTTGCGAGTTTGACAACCCTGCTTTAAGGGCTTGAAGAAATAAGATTAGAATATGCTGTTTGCAGGAAAGAAGGATATTTCTCCCTCTGTGTGTGGATGCATGCGCACATGCCAGTGAAATAAATTATACATCAATATGTGCAGGACATACCAGGTAGAGAATTAAACCTTGATTGGTCCAACCCTGGTTCACCTTCAAGTTTTTAAAATTCATTGTTGTAAGCACAGTTTCATTTGAAACTAACACACCAACAATCCCCCATGCTTAAATGCTAAATTTTTAAGAGTTCCCCTCCTCCCCAAACAATTTCATGGAAGTATCTGCACACATTTTATTTCCCTTTTCCCGCATCCGCTTTTTTTAAAAAAAGATCCATTCCAAGTTGTAACTCCTGAATCTTCAGCACAAACTTCAAATTGTGGAGCTAAGTCCTGGTGTCTCCTCTTTCCTCCTTTCGTAGATGTTGAGCTATTCAAACCACCTGGGCCGAATAGCCATCATTTCCTCTAGGTAAGATTAATCTCCCCGATGCCGCTCGATTCGGAGGAATTGGGGTCGGCAGGGAGGGAGGGGAGGCAGTGGAGCTTGCTACCTCACTTGGAGAAACCGGGGTGAGCTCCCCAGTTTGATAGGGCCAGACCCTTGCTGTTTGGGCCAGGGATTGCAGCTCCCTGGAAGGTGAGCCGGACTCTTCTCTGGGGGTTCTTGACCTTTCTTTTCCCTTCCAGTCTCATCCCGGTCCTCCTGATGGTGCCCGTTTTGGGACTCGGCAACTACTTTCAGTGTTCTCAGAACTTCACCTCAGAAGATGGGTAGGACAACCTGAATACAGTACCCTTTGCCGAGCATGGAAAGCCAGGGCTGAGCTGAGCTGAGAGTTTGTCCTACGGTGGCCAGGAGCTCCCAGACGCCTCTTAGCGGAACCAGCCTTTCATTTCAGAAGAGGTTTGGACACAGCCTGACCCTTCAGTGACGCACCTCACCTCCCAGGCTCACTCTTTTGTTTCCCTTTGGCCCACAGGTGCCTCCTGTTGCACATGGGAAACGTGCTCAGCACCAGCTCTCAGCAGGTCACCTGCACCGCGTTGTGTTTGTACAGCACTGGAGTTTTCCTGGTCTCGTTTGTAGTCAGCTTCCTTGCAATTCTGGTAAGAAGCACCCCAAGGGGTGCATCTCCTCCTCTTGCTGAAAGCCCTTCAGCACTTAAGGAAGGGGGAGCTCAGGAGAGGCGTGCCTGCTTTCACTTGAGAAGCCCACAGATCATACTTCTTTTTTCCAACCCTGATGCTTAACCTTTGCTGTCTTCCAGCTGCTGCTGCATTCCTTGTAAGTTCAAGCAAACAGTTTCATAACACTTTAATGCATCACACTCTGACCACATGTGGAACTGAGTTTCCACACCCCGGAGTCTGTCTTCTTGAATAAATCTGAGCTTCCTTTTGTTCCCTAATGGTAAACAGATGAACTTCAAAATAAGCACAGATCCTCTGGAGGGAAAATGCAAGGCAAAACAATAGAAACACTTGAATTGCTGGCCAGGCACCTCTTAGATTGGCTGGTTGCTGATGTTAGTTATGCAAGGACTTTGGGATCAATTAGAGCTAGAGAGGCTGTCAGTGGCCTGATTCACGCAAGCCATTATAATACACGACTTAGTTTTGGCTTAAAGCGATGTGGAAACTAACTCCGCTGGTTTGGAAGCCATGGTTTAGGCTTTGTTATCTTGTGCAAGCTCAGTCAGGTGTACTTTAACCAAAAAAACCATGGTTAAGTTACCCATGGCCTGGAGGAATGAATAAACCTAGATTTAGTTCCTCCCAAGGGTTCAAAGTGAAGCAGGAATCCCATCTCAGCTTCCTCCCTTCCACACTCTCCTTCAAGCACGAGCTCATTGCTCAGGCCTTGTTTCGACCTTGCTCCTTCTTTAGAGCTTGCTCATCCAAGCCAGGACCTTGTATAAGCGGTTTGTGAACTCGATGGGTTACGTCGGTGATCAGCAGTGGGCGATGCTGAAGGTGGTCGAGCAAGCCGTGATTCTGTACCCCGTGGTATTTTTCTGCTGCTGGGGGCCAGGTAAGGAAAGACCAAGGAACGTTGCTTCCTGGGAAAGAGACAGCTCTCCACCTGTCTGTTTGGAAGTGGGTTCCTCCAGATAGCCACTTATTGGAGGCCAGGACCCATCAAAAGTGAATTATTAAAAAAAATAATATATGCAGAGATGTAGCTGCTAGTCATACCATCCGTGCTATATTTATTGTTACTGATCTTCTCCTGTTTCTTCCACCTACAGCCTTTATCCTTGCTATAGTCAAGCTGGCACGTATGGACAACGCCAGTGTTTACATGGCCCTTTATATTCTAGAGGTAAGCATCTCTTCAGCCGCGCACATCCACGGGGCACCTTCTCTTCGTGTGCAGAACTCATTGCTCAGTGCTGGTTGGGTGACTAACTTTTAGTGGGAATTTTGGTCTCTTTGTTGCTTCTTCCTGATAGCCCCAGACAACTCCTGATTGCAGCCCCCTCACTTGAGCATCTTCCCTTCTCCACTCAGGCCCTGACCGCATCTTCCCAGGGGTTCCTGAACTGTGTGGTTTACGGCTGGACTCAGCACATGTTGCACTGTGTGAAACGCAAGGCTTGCCGTGATGTCAACACCCAGACGCCCCTCCTGCGTTCCCAGAAGAGGTTCTATGCCAGCACACTCCCAGCCCGTATCCAGACAGTGGCTGAGCCCTCCTCTCCTTCAACAATGACGGTGTTATGAATGGGAAACGGACCATTTGGTCTCGCCTTCCACCCCTGTCGTGCCAAGAGGCTCTTTTCTCAGCAATGCCAGCTAGACTTTTTAGATCCTGCACAGAGGGAGTTGAACCCATGGCTCTGAAGCTAGCTCATTCACAGCCTCTCTGAGAAAATATGGCTGTCAAAACGAGTCAGTGGCAGATGGGTGAACTTAAAGAGAGAGCTTGGAAGAACTTTGAGAGCATTAAAGTGCAATTGGGCAAGAAGAAACCGAAAGACTCTTTAAATTTAAATAATCACTATTTATTTGAGGGAAATGAAAATTGGATAGGGTGGACTGACTTTTTAGATTGTATCCTATTTTCCCCACGAGACAGTTTTCCCAGGATTTCCCAAAGAACAGGATACAGCATCACTGAGATCTGGAATGGCTGCAGTGTGGTGTGACCACCCTGGAAATTATCTTTTTATTTCAGTGCTGCTGGTGGAATATTTTACAGCTTCCTGCCAAACAGTAAAACGTAAAAGCAAGCGTATGGATAGATTTCTGTTCCTTTAGATTCCAGGATTGCTAAAAAGCACACTTCCCTTATCTTACTACTGTTTTAACACCTACAAAAGATTCTACACAGAAATAATGTCCCCTGTCGATCACAACTGACACCAATGTCATGGCTTCCAAAAATCCCCCCACCCTAAAACCCCCGTCAAAACTGAAAAAGCTCAGCTGCACAATTTTATTTTCCTTTTTCAAGGTGTCCCAGGAATCCTTTTCAATCCACCCTAAGATCCCTTCACCCTCAATGCAGAGATGACTACGCTGAATAGATGATCTTAGCCAGCATGATTAGCGGCACCTGAGGAATGGGAATTTTGCTGGAGCCCGTCTTATTCCTTTCCTAACCAAGAACAGACAATCTGTTCTTCACAAAACTCTGGAATCGTAGGGAATAAATTCCTGCCTCCTGCACTTCCTGACATTCTGAGACGTTTAAGAAGAGACATTGTTTAGCTGGCAAATTCACAAGTTTGAATTTTAATCCTTGCCCTCACCCCCTTTCCCTTTCCCAATAGTGGAGAGTATGGCATTCGATTTGATGTTTTGCAGCGACCCAGACTATCTTAGCACAGCCATTCAGTTTTTGCTCTCAGTGCTCTTTTCCATCTTGGAAAGTTCTGAGTATTATTTGAACAATGACCCACTGCTGACTTTATGATTATTAGATGTTGCAAGAAATTACAGAAGATAGTTTTTGGAGCGAATTTCCGTGGGCCTTCTAGGGAGCCCCAACTGGCAGCCTTACCTGGGTGTCTGTTTTTGGGGGGTGATTCAGTGCTTTCTTCGTGGAAGTTTTCCACCACCTGAAAACCGGTCCCAGGAGTTCCCGCACTTTCGGAAGGACCACAAGAATAGCAGCGATAATTAACATGGAAAAAGGAATAACAGTTCCCAGAACGTACTTGGCCAAGGAGTTGCCCCAGGAGACCACAGGAAACCCCCCATCAATGCTCCCTCCAGCACCCCAATGATTGCAGTTCGGAGGGGCCCATCCACTGTTACAGTGGCATTTGTGAAGGTTGTTGCAAACACCTCTGCTTTGGCAGGTTTTCCGTGGGTCGCAGCTCAAATTAAGTAGGGCTTTGGAGGTGCAGGTGCGATTGATGCACACTTTGTATGGGTCACACACGATGCCATTAGGAACAGTCCCAATGTCCTGGTGATGGATTTCGCCAGGATGCGAAACGCTCCAGCAGAGCGTTCCCCGCACTAAATTCTTATGGACCACCATATCGTTCAGGTCAGGCACAGATTTCACATTTACACAGTGTATTCTCCCACACATACTGTCCTTGGGATGGCATTTCAAATATTCCTTCCTGGAAGGATCATTGCCACAGTTGCCATAGGGAGTTCCGAGGGTGTTCAGACCGAGGTAGCAACTCTCCGGAGCCGTTTTAGATTGTCCTTTAAAGATTCTGTGGCACAAGAAATCGTGATTCCAGCACCTCTTTTTGTAACAGTAAGAAGAATATTTGCCACAGGGTGTTCCGTCCTGCACATACAAGTCCTTGGGGCACTGTGCAGATTTACCATTGCAGTATTCAGGGAGATCACATTCGCTGACTTTAGCCCGGCAGACTTCTCCTTTGGGAACAAACATACATTTTCGGCAACACTGTCCTGCCCCACAAAAGACATTTTTCTTCAAACGACAATCAGAACTGCAGCAAGGATCATGTGTGCACGTGGCTGCTCCCCCACAATCACACTCTTCGTCCATATCCAGAACCCCGTTCCCACAATGCTGAAATCTGGAATGTATCTTAGGAACATTTAGCAAGCAATCCAAGAGGCCCTGTTGGTGAAGTTCTAAGAAATTCAGAATGCTGCAGTTACTGAACCGGTTAACAGAGGCGTGGTACGTGTGCATAATGCAGCTTTCAGACGTGCCACAGACACACTGGGAGCCGTCGTGATCCAATCCAATATGAGAGGCCAACTCATGAGAAAATCCCCTTGCGAAGCGGGCCGACTCGTTCTGGAAGTAGACTTGGACTCCTGCTGAAAAAGGGGGCTCACAAATAGCAGAGTGATAGGACTTTCCGAAGACATTTTTAAAAGTCTGTTGAAGGAACAAGAAGGCTGTGTCATACACTGTCCTGTTGACCATGCTGGTTATTCTCCACTTATTGAATCTTTGAAGAACATCTGTGATATCTGTAGAAATATCTATTAAGTTCTTTTCAGTCCAGATCTCAAGTCCAACTAGAACAATGTTTGTCTTGAGAGCCTCAAAGGTGGCATCTGCAATGTTCACCAGATCCAACACTACAGTTTGCACTCTGCTAACATTATTTGCTTCTTGGGCAAATACGTTTTTGTCCACTACAATATACAGTTCAATATATTTGGGGAAATCTTCATACTGGAGATAATTGTACATCGCTCTGGTTTGTCTGTTCTGCAGATTTTTTGCCTGGTGCTTTGTTCTTCCCATTCCCATTTTGTACGATGAGAAAATAGGCTGTGATTCTTCGGAGGGGTAGAGAAGGTGTTGAAAGGCAGGGGAATTCTGCAGAGGCTCAATACCGTACACTCTTGCCCCAATTTTCAACAAACCAGTGAGACCAAGGCAGGTCCTAAGAACCGCAAGTGAATCAACAATACCTTCAATGTAACCTTGATAGTAGCATTCAGTTGGCATGTTGGGATGGCTCTCAACGCGTTCCCCCTTCGAATTATATGTGAAGATTGGGAAGTTTTTAGCTAGCAAATGATTTGAGGGTTTGAGCCGGATGATGTAATTCCTTGCTGCTGCCTTGATGATGTAAGATATTTCATCCTTCTTTGTCTTCACTCCTTGGGCTGCTAACCGTTTTGGGATTATCACCTCATAGGAGGGATACGCTGGAGGAAGCAATGAGCTGCAATGGACGGTGGAAAGGGTAAAGACCACCAACACAATGCAGGTTGCCAATGGGAGGAAAAAACAGCACCCAAGACATCTACCTGCACTTCTCATGATTCAGTTGTATTGTGTTTCACACATGCTTAGCTTGGAGCTGAGATTGATGTGGACGTTCAATGGAAAAAAGTCAAGGGTTTGTTTGTTTTCTGTGAGTCTGTTAATTTTGTGAGAGCTTACTTCAGTTCATCGATGCCCCAAAAAACAATGGCTGTTACCATCACTTGCTTGAGCCATCAAGATTCTTTAGGTAAGTCCGCTTTCTGGCTCTGTGGCCATCTTTATTTAACGAAGAGAGCTAAAACAGAGAGGACACCAGGAAAAGAGGGGACATCTCAAGAGCTTTGGACCCTTCCTCTTCTCAGTTGTTCTGGATGAACCTTGTGAAGGGCACAATAGCCAAGACGCAAGCCAGGGATGAACTCACCACCGATCAACCACCATTTCCCTCCTACGGGTCTTCTCCATTGGAAGATTCCAGAGGGCAACTGTTTCTCCAGCCTCTTTAAATGTGAACATTCCATTTAACCTCCTCCAACAAGAGGCTTCCCAGTGTTACTGAACAGCTAATTTCAGCACTGAATCATGGAGCAGCTATCCCTGGATTTTCTCTTTTTATTTAAAATTGGATAGTATGCTTGTTATTTTTCTAATTTCCAGTTCTGTCTTTAAGGATCTAGTCAACCCCTTCTAGCTATTTCATGGCCTTATGAGATGAAATAATCAGAGGGGCTGGTTCATTGTTATTCATGTGGCTCAGGAAATCTATTTCATACCTTCCATAATTGGCACAGAATTTACACTGAAAGACAGGCGCCACCGGGCGAGAGAATCCACTGCACTCACCCGGGAAGAAATAGCTACCATGTCCAGTCTTTTGACTTAGAGTAGACCAAGGAGCCAGCCAACATAGCTCAAAGGGGAGAAATTTTATGCAGACAAGCAATGCAAAATCAATTTGAGCTTGCAATTTGAAAGAATTGATGGTGTAAGACAGCAAAGAAAAAAATGGGTTACCTGCCAACCGTTGTTTAAAAAAACAATACCCCAAACTAGTTGAAAAAGACATTAAAAAAACCTTGAGACAGAAACTTTGATAAATTTTACTAAAATTATTTTATGTACACCAATGCATAATATTTACATTCATATAATACTGATTTGAAAAACAAAACGGTGATACAGCAAAACGCTTAAAAGTGGGGAAAGCCAAAGGAGGGTGAGGAAGGCATGACAGAAGGTTGGCTACGGTGTGGCTGAAAACATACATGCACAACACCATTTCCGGTCTCAAAACATTTTCTCCTGGATTCTGTCTCTAAGGATCAACGTTACTAGGGGTTTCGCCCATCATAAGCAAGAGTGCTGATTTTTCCTTCCACAGGTACAAGAAAGAAATCAAGACGGAGATGAATATGAAAAGCTTTACAAGGGAAGCCCAGTAAAATCCATTTCCAGGACCATCAAGGTACACCGTCGTGTTTTTTATAAAAGATGCCCTTTTTTCCCTCACAAAGGAAAAGTGGTTTCTGACAACCACAGCTATTCTCTACACCAACCTTCCCAAAGCAGAGGCTCCCCAAAACCACTGGACTACAATACCCAACCCCCAATGATGAGAGCTGTAGCCCCAACACATCTGGAGGCATCCAAGTCGGGGAAAGCTAATGTATTTACAGCATCATGCAGAACTCACGCAAGGGTGGAAAGTCAGAACCGAATCATCATTCGGGGGGACACGACTTCCATCCTTTCGCCTCCTGTCGTATTCCACCAAGTAGCCACCCTGGCAGATAATTCCTATCCTCTTTAGCCCACTCAGCAGAGACAGCAAAAACTGAGACAGGCACTTCTCGGAAGCCCATTGCAGAGCTGTCAATGTTGTTGACCCACCTCGTTTCTTCCAAGGTGGCAATCCAGGGCCTACTCTTGTGTAGAATTAGTAGTACATACAAGAGATGCAAAGAATAATTGATCAAAAGAGCCCAGCCCGAGCCACATTCAAACGAGTAATGGTAGCAGGCAAAGAGAAAAGTAAAAAAATAATCTCAAAAAATTCCCCAGAATAGTCAAAGAAAAATTAAATAAAACTAAATAAAGTATTTCATCCTCAGTCTCATTTTTTGACCACATCCAAAAAATGAAACTGGTTTGGGGGGGGGCGTCTTCTGGGAGCAGCTATTTGTGGATCCAGCCCCTTCCCATAGAAAGTATAGACCACCAGGGAATTCTTGGGATCTCTGATCCTTCCTCAGCTGGTGGCTGGGGAAATTGAGGCAAGGACAAGTATGTTTTGATACAGTACTTCTACAAAAAGGAGTCAGACTCCAACCCTTTAAAATTTCCCACAAGCCAGAGGAAACAGAGAAACAGAAGCCTCAAGGAAAATATTATGAAATATTTTCCAAGCCATGAATGTAATTTGCTGCACAAAAGCCAAATGCCACCTCATGGGCATCCTTGGTGGGAAAACACTGTGTGTGCAGAAGAATCGGAGTGTTCTGCTTCGCTGACTGAAAAAATTAATCACAGCAGAAAATTATTGACAAACGGGTGCTAAATGTGAGCTCACTTTGGCCTTCTGCAGAGGGTGAAAAATATCTTCCTACTTCTGCAGGGTTTTTTTTCTGGCTGAGGACTTTGTTTCTCCAGATTAAAAGGCTCCTTCTCTGGTGTGGCTTCATTTATCCCTGTGGGCATCTCCAAAGAAAATTTCCCCGTCCCGTTTCATAATGCATTCTCTTTGTACAGTATGTCTGTAGACCAGATGTAAAGTCTTGAGATTATCAACTGCACTAGCACTAGACAGAGATTCCAGCTTTCCAGATGTAGTTTAGCCCTAACAGCCCTCCTGTGCTTCCTGTTAAAAACTAAAGGGACTAAAACCAAACCTAAAGCCAGACACTTGCAGGCCTCCCCATCAAATGGTTCTCAATAAAAACTGCAGGGACGCAACCAGCAGCCGTAATATGGAAAGTCCACAAGGCAGCATTTGAGGGATGAGCCCAAGAGCAGAAACAGAAGCCAGGCAAGGAAGGATAAAAAAAAAACCCACATTACCCCAGAGATAGCAAACCACAGAATCGTGGTGGCCAATGAGAAGCCCACATAGAACCTTGGATTGGCATTTCAGCGGCCCCAGGACACAGGGAATGGCACCAGAGTAGTTCTGTAGGGCTGCCTCCAGGCTTCAAAAGCAAATAGGTTGTCAGAACACTAGAAACAGGCTGAACTGGTGAAAAGCCACAAGCCACCATTTCTGTCTTCCTTCACTTTGCGGTAAAAAGCAATAGGAAAAGGCAACCCTGGGCTCAAGAAAGAGTCTCAAGATCCAGAAACACAGGGCTATTTTGTAGTAATCACAACTTTTTATAGGGCTGCCTTGAATCAGCAGGCAGCCGAGTAGCCCATACGCCTCTGGCTGGTTTCTTCAAGTAAGTTATTGAGATGAAAGCCGAGAGAGACCCCCAGAACTGAGCTGGTATACCCCCCTACGACAGGCAGCTGGAGAGATATTGCCTCAATCTGGACATTCAGGTGAACACAGTTAACCATTTGCCCCATTTAAAACCATGAATGAAGGGGTACGTAAAAATCATGTAATATATAATATATATATATATATATATATATAATTTTGAGGAACTGAGTTTCTTAAAAAAATATTACAGTACCAATGATTCTCATTATCTACATCTATACAGCATTTCTCAAGCTGTGTGGAAATTTAATGAAATAATTATGACTCATTAATTTACATAAAAATACTTTTTACAGTTTACAGCAGCCTTGCCCAGCCGGGTGCCTTCCACCGTTATCATCCCAAACCAGAACATCTGGGAAGGCGCCCGGTTGGGCAAGCCTGCTTTAACAGATAATTCACAAAATGGTCTTTAAAAAAAAAACGGGCGAGAGTGTGGGTGACTGGATAAGAACAAGCAGCTCCAGCTACTGCGACTCGTGAGAAGTCGTCTGCTCTTCAATAACTTGCTTCACTATTTCTGCCAGTTTTAGCCGGTCCACTTTGTCTGTGAACCCCCTGCCTAAAAACAGAAACCGTTGTTAAGTGGAGGGCTACATGTAACAATCACAACCAGAGGGGAAACTAGATTTCCTAAAAAAAAAAAAAACCCTCTTAATTGCTATCAGTTTTCATAAGCGCCCTTTTCAGGGTAAGGGGAGATGAGAGACTTAATCCACCTGAACAGACTTGTGATACTCACCATTCCAGCTAAAAGTCTGCAGGGTGTCTCTGAGTAATTTACATTCCCGGTTATACTTCCAAGCTTCCTGCATAACTTCATTCAGTTTCTCATCTTCGTTTTCTCCTGGTCCAGAACAGGAAAAAAGAAAAACCTCTCCTGAGCATTCTAAGACTTTTTATTGTCAACCTGGAGTTATTTCGAAATAATTAAAGTTGAATTTTAGTTTGTGGGATCAGCTGTCAAAATCAATACTGGAGGAAGGTTGAAGACAGAAAGACAAAGTATTTAGACTTATGCAATTGTTTTCCTACCATTTTTTCCAATATTCTGAGAGACTGTGGAGAGCAGGAAGACAAAGCGAACAACAGTAAGTGGTCAGAAGAGGGCAGGATAAGGGACTGAACAGAAACCATGCCGTAAATGGAAAAGGAAGATTCCATGACTTAAAGTCCCATGCAATCAAGAAAAAGAGTTGGTTGTTTTCAACGGGGACTACTATCCTCTCTCTGAGAGCTCTACCTGGTTCCTATAATACTGTGTTTCCATATCTAGACAAATGTTTTTCCTCTCAGGCAACTTAAAATTCTTCAAACCAAAGAACTGGGCACTAAACGTCAAACTAGGCATTAAAAAAAGACTTTGCTGTTACTCAGGTTGGTTGCAAGATATCATCTCATACCTTTCCTTGACCCCTGGGAACCACCTCAAAATCTAGCTAGCAGGTACAAAAAGCAGGAGTTCATTATTTTAAGTAAAGGACAGAGTAGGGCATCTTGGTCTGTTAATCAAGAGGAAGAGTAGGAGTTTTGACTTCCAGATCCTTCCGGCTCTTTTGCTGGAGAAAAGGCGAAAAGGACGGCCAGTGCAGCATCCCACCTACCCACCCAGCCACCCACCCTGCCCCTAGAAACATTTCGTCTTAGAATCTGCCACCTTTACCAGCCTGTGGCAGGATGCATTGAGCAATCACATCCCGTAGCTTCTCCAGAGCAACGTTGCTGTTCTCAGGATCATGGATGTACACGTTTTCCTTTGGTTTTGTTCTGCAAGGACAGAGAGAAACGTCAATCGTACTTCAGCAACTAACACAGCAGGTTCAGGGACAACCTCCTCCCAGCTAGTCTTCTGAACAACATTAGCCTGTGCTAAAAGAGAAGCAGGGAAGGGTCGGGGCGTATCCTGGCCAGGCTAAATATTTTCTCCACCCACCATTATTTTTCATTCTTCCCAGCCACCACCAGAAGAAGCTCCTCAAACGCTCACCCCAGCAGTTTCCTTTTCCGTAGGATCGGGTTGTTGACCGAATGCAGGGGCTTGAGGCTGACTTTGAGATCCTGTATTCTCATGTTTGCCAGTTGCTCTGCGTGTGCCTGCTGGATGCCGGCAACCATGGCCTGTTACAATTGGAGAGGAGTAGTTAATAACTGAGGTTTTCAATCTGTGATGCAGGAGGCGGGATGGGCCTGAGCACAAGACATGGACCACCTCGGGCCAAGAACATCTTGAGAAGGGAAGATCCCCAAAGAAAAACCAGCTTGAGAGCATCAGCAGAAAAGCCAGAGGATGGGAGTAACATTTCCAAAGTCTCTGACTGCAACAGTTCCCATTCCCGAGGCTCTACTTAAAAAAGCACCACGTGAGGTTTGAGGAGGGAGGACCTCTAGACCACCCCCAGGAAGGGAAGCTTGACTAGACGATCAGCTCCCCTGCATACTAAACAAACCATTTCTTTGCAAATAAGCCATTTCACAAGAACCTTGTCCATCATTAGTTGGGCAGAAGGCAGAATGTTATCGAGCGCCTCGGTCGAGTTGAGCCATGGGTGATCCAGAACGCCTTCTGTCGTCAGTCTCTCTTCTGGCTTCACCTTCAGCAACCTGAGTGTTTTTAAGAAACGAACCCATCACTCCGTTGACCCTTTAAGGCGGGCGGGTCCAACCTTGGCCTCTTTAAGACCTGTGGACTTCAACTCCCAGAATTCCCCAATCAGCCAAGCTGGGAATTGAAACCCACAGGTCTTAAAGTGGCCACGGATGGACATGCCTGCTTTAGGCTTCCACTTGGTGGACAGCAACTGGACCCTCCTAAAACCAGCCAATGGAGGCTGAAAGCCCTGCTAGCCATTGGCTCAGCTGCTTGCAGAAGAAGACAGAGCAAAGAGGCAAAGGCTCCCAAGGACCTACTTGCGCACGATGTCTTTCGCCATTTCTGAGATCTGGCTCCACTCTTCCTCCGGGAACTCAAAGCTCCCCGTCATGATCTTTTTCCTCATGTCCTTCGGAATCGTCCGACTGTGATGCTTCGAGTAGAAGGGTGGATACCCACACAGCATCACGTAAATGATGACCCCCAGGGACCATAAGTCACAGCTCTGATAGGAAGGGGGAAAAAGGAACATTGATGTCTAATAGACGCCGTTTCCCACTCAGGAGAAAAATCCACTCTGCGTAACCGAGGCAGAGTCAGCCAAGCATATCGGGGTGCCAGAGGTCTACCTTGTTATAAGTGTATGGGGTTGGTGAGGTAGGGATAATACCACACTTTTCTTTCTGGTGCCGTCTTTGTGCCTCCAGGACCTGTTGGGCGAAGAGGAAACAGCCAGCAATCTTAGACCTAACTGCACAGGGGCTCCTGAGGCATGAAAAGACGCCGGCCAGCCCCAGGAAGAAGGCCCTTACCTGAGGTGCTACGTAATAAGGAGTGAACTGTGGTGTCATCAAGTCGCCTTGGTCGATCTTGGCAAACCCAAAGTCACAGAGCTTCACGGGAGCATCCTAGAGCAAGCGACAAGCTGCTTAGGTGAAATGTGTCAGCGTCAGAACACGGAGCACACACCCTCTCAGAAATATCTCTGGGGCTGCTGAAGGAAGGGAAAGAGATACCAGAGCAAAAGAATCAAAACAGGAGGAGGCCAGGGGGATCAATGGCACAGGACCAGAGAGTTGGGGAAGGAGAGGATCCTGGCCTGAAGCAGCAAGGAAAGAGCCTCCAATGGGCTGGAGGGAAGAAGCCAGCCTTTCCTGCAGGCCAACGGCTGGGAGAAAACCAGAGAGGAAAGGAGACTGTGATGCTAGCACTGATCAAATAGTGAAAAGAAAAAAAACAACCCAGCATCCAGGCCAATCAACATCCACCTTACCAAAGAATTATCTTTGAAAAGAAGATTTTCAGGTTTAAGGTCTCGATGGGCAATGTTTAAAGAATGACAGTGCTGCAAAGCCAAAGCGATCTGGAAAAAATAAAAAAGCACAAGGGATCAGAAGATGGTCACAGAACTTCTCTCTCGAGACGCTGATGGGCCCCTCTGGGCCGGCTGCTTCTGTGTGGTCTGGCTCAACCCAAATCCAATCCACGATGAGCCTGCTCAGGATATTTTCTTCCTTTCTGGCTCTACAATAGTTCTCGTGGAGGTGTGTTCTTTCGTTGAGCAGGAGCAGGTAGGAAGTGAGCTTAAACTGTACAAAGCTCAACTTAAGTCACCGTGAGGAAAATTCAGCTGGGGTTTTAAGCAGGTGAGTTTTAGCAATCCTGGAGTGGGGAGGAAACACATTAAAATAGCTGGCTTGCACAAGGAGGGAACTGGTTGTGCTTGACAGCTCCTCGCCTTGGGCTAAACCTACCACCCAGAGTCACATGATCATCAGAAGAGCTGAACGGTGACGCCAGTAACTATGGAATGTGCCCGGATGCAGCTTGAGGGCAGGAAAGACGGGCATGTAGAGAACCGAACAAGAAACAACAGACACCCCACAATCTCAGCTAATGCCCATCTCTTTTTCATTCTCAAGAGCAAAGAAGTTGCACACCTGGACAAATGTGGACAAACCGTAACGTGGTTTTCCTGGGCAATTCAATCAATACCTCCTGAGCCAGCATAGCAGCACCCTCCAGTTCCCCCCGCCCACTTTTATATTAAAAAGGAAAAGATGATGCTCCTCAGCTGTCAAAACCTGGGAAACGAATGTTGAGATTATAACAAATCTGATAATCTTTTGGGAGGGCCAAACATTACTTTTTTTATTTTAAAGTGTGCCTTTTCCCAATCCATCTCCTGGAATTTATTTATTTATTGTTTTACAGTTCTTTTCTCCCATATTGTTTGCTTATACAGGGGCAGAATAGGGAGGCCTGTGGGAGGGTTAAAACTTGCCTGCTTTGTTACTTCGCTTGCTTGTTTCTCAGTAAAGTGCCGATGTTGGCTGATTCTGTGAAACAGCTCACCTCCTTCCATCATCTCCATTACAATTAGCAGTCGAGACCTGGATAAAAAAAATATCAAGATGTTAAGAAAAACCTCTGCCCCGTAGCCCTATTCTTGTAATTAAATAGACCCGGGAAAATGTTCTGCACAAGCTGTACTGCTCAGGACAGCTTAAAGAAAAAGCAACCCAATGGATTCGCAATTTAAAACTAAGGGCCACAAATATGTCACTGAAACAATACCATTTTCAAAAAAAAGAAAGCCACCATTCTCCCCCTCCTAGGAAAAACAGTGGCTTGTTGAACTCTCTGTGGTCAAGCCTACAGCCAAAGCCAAAACCACAGTCTAACCCCATATTTATTTCTGTGTCTTCTCATTTTAACTTCCAGGCATTCTGCAGTAACCTTTTTTGTGCAACAGCTTTTTGAGGTAGCCTGGGGGAAGAGATGTCTTACATGTAAAACAGAAATCCTATTTTGTGATGAAGTGCAAAAAGAATGCCGTGGCACCAGAAGGAACTTGCACCATCTTACCTTGGACTGGACTCATGGGGGAACTGTACACTGTTCGCGTAGACTTCAATAATCTGGACAATGTTGGGGTGTGCCGCACACATCATGTGAAGTCGGACCTGGTGTAAAATGGGAGAAAACCCACTGAATCCCCATGGCCTTTGGTCTCAGCTCTCAAAATACTCCTGTCTCTTACTCCAACGTGACAGAAATCAAAAGCATTTCTAGATAGCCATTCATAAGAAGCAAAGGAAAACAGAATTAAGGTCAACTTGGGATTTTTTTCCCAGAACTAACTGCCTGGAAGAGATACCATTTCAGATATGTGGCAACCAAGAGCGTTTTCTGAGCCAGAAAGGAATTCAATCTTCCCAGATGCTCATGTGGTTGAACGCTAACTGGCTTCTAACCCCGTGAGACCTGAGATCTTGTCTTTTTAAACTGGATTGTAAAGCAAAACCCGGAGTTTAAAACTCACAGCCTGGGCAAACGTTCAGGCAAGAAACAAGTTGCAATGGGAGAAGAAATTCAGAGGAAGAGGGCTTGGCTGCAGGGGAAAGCACAGAGAGATTTAAGTTAAGCAAAAGGTCAACATCAAGCACCACCCCCAGGAAAGTGGAGTGGAGTTGATTGAGTGCTTTGGGCACAAAGCTAACCGGTTTGCCAGGGGCCTCTCCTGTTTCCTTTGGACAAGTCAGATTCAGCAGAACTGGAAAAGGCCAGATTTTTCCAGCTCTGCTACACTGAAGACTAACAAGGCAAAATGGAATTTTCTAATAATGCAAAATTGACCCATCAAGAGCTACTCTGGATGGCATTATCAAAACAAGCCCCAAACTCATCCATATGCCAGCAGCAGCTGACAAATGTAACAGGAGCAGACCCGACTTCCTGATTCGGTTCTTATGTTCACTCTGTCCCATCCTGTGTGGAATCTCGCTGACATTAAGGGGACTCTCAGGATGCTTCTGGCATTGACTGAAAGCGCCTGCCCTGGACTGGAAGATGTGTAGGCTCAAGCAAAGCCCTTCTTGCCAGGAAATCAATATTCTTATCCAAGCAAGATCACAAGTCGCTGGGTGTTAAACCAATATCTTCAATAAATAAATACCACGCTATCAGCGTCTTTCTGGGCTCAATTTTACAGTGAGGCTTTCCTAAGCAAATTCTTCCAAAGATGCTCCTGCAAGTACTTAGACTTGTTTATCTTTTCCAACTTAGCTTAATAGCTATGTGCAATGCCAGATATCAGGCTTTTGTCAGACATTCACCGAGACTTCTTTTATGCTTTGCAACAATATTTCAGTATTTGGAATATTGTGTTTCATTGGTTTAAAATGGACGACCACTTTGTCTAGTTCAGGGGTGTCCAACCATGCACCTTTAAGACCTGTGGACTTCAACTCCCAGAATTCCAGAGCCAGCCAAAGTTCCAAAACTTTTCCATAAATAGAGTACTCATTTATGTACCTCATTTCTCGCTTTTGGGCGATCAAGAAGGATTTTCAGTGCAAACCGTTCTTGAGATGATTTTTTGATGCAGACTCTGTACAGGCAGGAGTAAAAACTTGATTAGTGGGAGTCTATGGAAGACTTTGATATATGACTGCATTTATTGCCTGATAACAAACATCAAGGAAAGTGTGTCCCAATCCAACCTTTGATTTTTATTCACAGTTTAATTCAAGAATCTTATATTTCAAGCTCTCGCCAGAGTTTAAACCCAAACCAATATATAAAGGTTTTTATACCTTACTGGGCCGCTGATTCCAGCTCCCAGCTTCTGAGTCCAGTTAATGTGGTAGTCTTCCAAAATAGAAGTTTCCTGTTTGTTTTTCAAAGAAGAGGAAAAAAGTGAAAGGCTGATGGTCCCAGATAAGAAGTCCCACCTGTAGTAGTTAACAATCCCTAACAATAACTGAGAGGCTGGCAGCAATATGGAGTTCTGCGGATCACAGTCTGGGCTCCTGGATTACAAAGCTCATCATCCTCAGCTCCAGGGGGTCATACATTCGGACAAGAATAGCAGCCTCCCAAATCATTTGATCCCTCAGCTGGTCTTACAGGAATTGGGGTCTCGGTGCCATCTGAGGATGAGAGGAACTGTAGTCCAAGACAAGGGCACTACCTGGGGATGATGGGAGCTGTACTTCAACTATCCTAGAGGCCACCAACCAGGGCCAGGACCATTCCTTGAACTGGGGATGACGGTAGCGGTAGTCCAACTCAAGAGAGGCAAGGCTGGGGATGATGGGGGGTGCAATTCACCCCCCCCCCAGCGGCCACCAGCCCCAGGGTTCGGGATGTCCTCTCAGGCGAGGCAGCCAGAGAACCCCGGGGTGCTTCTGCACGTGCTCAGAGGGCCCCCTCGCCTACCTTGATCATCCTCTCCGCGTCGGGCTCCTCCGACATCCTCCTCCTCCTCCTCCTCCGCCGCCGCCTCAGGCCCGGCTCGGGGGGCTCGGGGGGCGCGCAGGGGGGGCTAGGCGGGGGGCCGCCCCTCCAAGTCGGAGTCGTCGGCGTCGTTGTCCCCGCTGCCTCCACTACCGTCGCCGCTGCCGCCTCCCCCTTCGCCGCCGCCGCTGCCACCGCCACCGCCACCACCGCCTCCACCGGGCTGCCGCCTCATCCCCGCCCAGCAGCCGAGGAAGGGGAGCGGGACGGCGGGGAAGCGGAGGCCCGGGAGCACTCTTCTCGCGGCCGGGAAGAAAGAGGCCGCGGGCGGCGGGAGGAACGGGCCGCAGCCGCCTCAGCCCGGCCGCCGGGGCTCGACTGATGCGGGGCAGCCGCCAGCCATGGCCACCGCTTCGCCCCCACCGCGGGCAGCCCCGCCTGATTCGGGAAGGGCGGCCACCGCGCTCCCCGCAGCCGTGGCCTGTCCGGATCCTCTAGTCTCCGCGCGGCTTTGACGGGCAATCCGCGCGGGGTCGATCCCGACGGGAGCTTCGCCGCTGCCGAGGCTCTCGGGGAAGAAAGCAGTCAGGCGGCTGTCCGGGGCAGCCCAGTGCCTACACGCGACGCCCTGCCTCGGAGGCCCCTCCCTCTTTTCTTCTCTTTCTCCAGTTAAGGCTCTCTCGGGGCCCCCGGGGCTTTCTTCGCCGGAGCCGCGCCTCCTGATGACGTCACGAACGGGGTTATCTAAGGGAAGGAGACAGCCCTTGGCTCGTCCGAGGGAAGGGCGGGGCTTTCACGGGGCAGGGAAACCCTCGCTCTGTTCCGGACGCGCCCCTTCGCTGTCGTGGTTGGAGGGGCGGATCTCCTTTCTCCACGCCTGCGTCTCTCCACCTCTCGCGAGACGCCTGGCTGGACGTCTCGCGAGATCCCGAGCGTGGCAGGACGAAGGAGAGCTGCTGTGAGGTTGGTCGCCGTTTTGGGAAAAGGGCATTTGACTGACAGGGGAACCTTTAATTTCAGGTGGAATATTTTTCAGGTAGGATTAATTAACATCCTTCCTCCAATAACCAATAAAGCCGCCAAATGTCGCCGAGAAGTGTGTCAAAAGCAGGGCCCTACTTTCCCCTCGGAATTTGGCTGTCTTCGGAACATCTGGAAGGTTTATAGTTCTGTTCATCTTTTTTCTTTTCTATACTTGCACATTTTTTTAAACCCCGTGCCAGTTTCTGAGGGGAGTGAGTGAGAATCGTAACTTTCTGGCCCTTAAGACTTTGGTGCTTGGATATAGTAGACTCCCTACTCGTGTGCATTTTTGTATTTTTTTAAATAGCATATATCGAGGAAGCAAACGATTAAAACTTGATTTAGATAGATAAGGGCATAGGGCAGTTTTTCCTACCCTTGTGGAGCTTAAGCTGTGTGGACTTCGCACTCCCAGAATCCTTAGCAGGCTGGGGGACTCTGGGAGCCGAAATCCAGACATCTTAAAAAAGCGACAAGGTTGGCAAAAAGAGCCTTCCTGTGAGTTTTATTTGTCACAAAAGATGGGGTGCTTAGGGATCCACATTCACCCCCAGAGTCTTCCCCAAATCCTGGTTCTTGGCCCCACCTCACCGTCCAAAGGGAAGCAAATGTATTTATTCTCAAAGCGGCTCTGGACAGATGCAATACAAAGACACGTTAAGCATAAAATCTTGTATTAGAAAAAGTACAAAAAGAACATATGAAGAGGTGCCTCAAGACATTCGGATACTCAAAAGTAGCCTGCTTCTACAGATTTTCTATTCAGGTTACTTTGCAGTGAAGAATATTCGATTTTCCTTGCTCTTAATTGTTACAAATGTTTGATCTTGGTGAGGGAAAAAGAACCAAGGACAGTTTAAGCAGAGAAATAAAGTCTTAATCATTGGTGAGGGAAAAAGAACCAAGGACAGTTTAAGCAGAGAAATAAAGTCTTAATCATTGGTTACATGTACATTCTGTGAGGTGCCCATAGAAGCCAGATTTTCTTTCTTAATGTAGAATTCTTCAGTTCCTGATTAAGCTTTTCTACCAAGTGTGGGGTGACATATATGGACGGTTCCACGGATTTCTTCTTCAAGAATTCTTTTGTGGGACTTTGATGGTGACCTAGCAGGAAGATAGAGTGAAAAACATGGAATCTCATCTAGAGGTAGTCCTCTACTTACAACAGTTCATTTAGTAACCGCTACAACAGGACGGAAAAATCTGACTTATGACCGTTTTTCAGAGTTAAAGACCATGGGGAGCTGCAGCATCCCTATGGTCATGTGATCAAAATTCCAACTCTTGGCAACTCATATTTATGACAGTTGCAGTGTCTCAAGGTCACGTGATCCCCTGGGAAAGCCAGATTCATTTAACAACTGTTTTATTAACAATAATAATGGCAAGGAAGGTCGTAAAATGGGGCAAAATTCACTTAACTATCCTATTTGTAACAAATTTTGGGCTCAATTGCCGTCATAAGTCGAGGACTGCCCTGTGTTTATCAACCACTGTCTGTCCCAACCTCCTATTATAGAGGCAAATAAGCTGTACAAGCTTGGTTTAATGGTTCAGCCTTCTTAACAGTTCAAAAAATAATATCCATTATGCTCTGTTAGAATTGCCAGTATGTATCTAGTGAAGCATAGGGAGCTGATTGAAAGTTGCCATCCTTGGGCGAAACAAAGTTAGGGCTTTCAAAAGACAGGAATACATTATTATTTAAGGAACAAGATGTTCTGTTACTCAGGTTGAGGTATAGGAGGACATTGGCTTCTCCGTTTATCTGCGCACAAATGGGCACTAATTCCTTAAGATCAAGATCGCCTAACTTAAAATAAATGCTTTCTTGTATTTGAGCTAAGCCGATCTGAAGATGTGAACTATAGTTGAAAGGAACAAGTAATGACAATACTTACTGTTTTTATTTCCATGTATGAGTTCAGGCCATATTCTCCCCCCTCACGCCCTTGGCCAGATTCTTTGAACCCTCCAAATGGAGCCTGTGCCCCAAACACATTGTAGCAATTAATCCTGCAAAATAAACATTGCATTAGAAATGTTTTTGATTACATTTCCTCTGTTATACAAAGATTTAACAAATTAACATTAGCACTGTACATTTAAAAGTTGCATTGAATGTATACAAGGCCAATCGAGGGCAAGTACTCATTTGTGATGCGGGAAATCTTGAATATAACCTTCCAGTTTTCATTAATTTGAAACTGGGCTGGGGTCTGTAGCATGGACAGCATGTGCCCCACCGGTTTTTCCTTCCGAGTTCCATTCTTAAGGGCTTACCAAACAGTTCCAGCTCGCAAACCCTGAGAAATGTAGTTGGCTTTATCAATATCTTTTGTGAAAACAGCGGCCGCCAGCCCGTATTTGGTTTCATTTGCCCTTTGGATGACTTCCTCAATGGTTTTGAATTTGAAGATCTGCATAACAGGCCCAAAAATCTGTAAAAGAAAAACATCTGCAAGATTAAAATGTATTTGCGTCACAGGATTGTCTCCAATATTACTATTGCCTAACCTCACGTATAAGAGTATATATTTAAGAAAGTGGGATCCATTCATACAGACTGAAAAATTCTGGAATTCAGCAACCTGATTATATAATGTGAATGGACTATGCATATATGATCCTCCTCACCTCTTCTTTGGCTATTTTCATATTGTCCTGCACATCTCCAAAGATAGTTGGCTGGATAAAGTAGCCCTTATCTGCTGCGGGGCTCCCACCACAAAGTAATTTTGCTCCCTCCTTTTTTCCACTGTCAATGTATCCAAGGATCTTCTTATATTGTGTTTCATCCACCTAAAGAAAGAACAAAAAGTCAGCGCATCAGTTCAGTCAAGATGCTGTTGCCATAAAGGAGCAAATCTGCTTGTATGAACAAAAAATCACCAAGCATTTAATACTGAAGTTTGCAACAATGACACTTTTTAAACCAGTTATCCTTTATTTCTATCTTGAGTTTTTACTTTATTTTTTAATCACAAGTACATCTGCAATTTACTGATTAGATTTTAAGAAAAGTTAGCATTTTAAGTTAATGAAAAGATTGTTTTGTACAATGTACAGTGGCTGAGATGTTTTTTTTTCCCCTATCTAGAACAATTGCCTGTGTTTTTCTAATTTGAGATACTATTTTAAAGGAGCTCCCCAAAGAGTGGATGGTGGCAGACTGGAACTAGGTTGTTTGTTTTCCCACCTGAGGCCCCTGTTCAGTTTGGAAGTCAAATGGGTTTCCAACTACTCTGGATTTGGCTCTCTCCACGCTCCTTTCCACAAACTCATGATATATATCTTCTTGGACAAAAGTCCGAGATCCAGCACAACAGCACTGGCCTTGATTGAAGAACAGTGCAGAATGAGATTGTTCAACAGCCCAGTCCACTGAAGAAGGAAAAAGAAAGAAAACATCCAGATGAGGCAATTGGAAACAAAACAAAAAAAACCCTCCATACGATCTCTTTAATTACTGTACTGAGATTCACTGATTACCATAATCAGTGAATTTAATCAGGAAATTAGATACTAATTTTAATTCTTGTCTTAGCGGATCAGTGGACTGGTTATCTGGACTGGTTTAAATTCTAACGTGTTACAACTCCTGTTTTCCTCACCAGTCCAACATAGCCAGGATTAAGAATAGTTGATCAAGGCTAAAAAGGAGACCAATCTGAAATGCCTCTGCCCTTTCTAAACTGGGTAAATGGATTGGAATATTGTCATCTTCATTTATGGGGTACATGAAATACATTTCAGTGAAGGTCTTATCCAAATCACTAGGCTGACTGTGAAGCTGCCAATCCCCCTTCCAGATGCAACTCAATCCGCTTTCTGTCCCCAAAGAAGAAGAATGTCTTACTTTCAGCATCAGACATGATAATATTTGGGCTCTTCCCACCAAGCTCCAGAGTCACTCTCTTCATATTACTGTCTGCTGCAGCCTTCTGGATCAGGTGCCCAACCTGTACAGTTAAGAAACAGACATTTCTTATCGGTCAAGATAACAAGCTATATTTGAGGAAAAGACCAGCAAGGGAATCAGTTTTTTTGTGTGTTTTCAAGTGCAACAAGCCATCACTCTACCCTTTTAAAGACTGACATCTAATGCTTGGTTAGGAGAATCAAGATAATTCTTGAAACCTGAAATTCCAGCCTGTGATTTTGTTCCCAGGGCAAAAAACCTAAGCTGAAGGTGACTCTATTGGACCAAGGTAGATCAAACATTCCTGTACTTATTTGAGGCCATCACTGACACCTTGATCTGGGCAACCAAGAACCCACTTTGAGAATCACTGCAAAATCTTAGTATTCTGATTTATCGTATTAATTTCAGTCCCAAAGGCCGAAGAAGGACGAGAGGCTCTAAATATTTAGTTCCTCACCGAGGTGGAACCAGTGAATGCAACTTTATCCACTTCCATGTGAGAAGATATAGCAGCCCCAGCCGTAGGGCCATAACCAGGAATAATGTTCACCACGCCTGGTGGGAATCCAGCCTGTTAAGACACATAAGAAGAACATTTTCTAAGTGGACAGATCAAGATTTACTGACAGGTCACCTGGCCAAATACAAAATGTGGAGGCCTCAGTGATAGCTAGA